TCTTCATTCATTCATTCAGCAAACACATCGTGAGTGTCCACCATGTGCCCTGGGGCTACCACAAGGAAGATATATTCCTCAAAAAGTGATTCTTTCATTGCTGACGTTCTGTGTAGCTCTCTTAAGCCCTCACAGGGACAGTTCGTTCCCTGCGGGTGGTACCGGAGCTTCCCGGTGCTAGGAGTCCTCTCTGCCCACCCGTGGCCCACCCTCTCCGCTCACTCCGGCCATCCCCACTGGGTGAGGGGATGCACTGTTCCCCCAAGTTCTAGGACCCCAGGAGACATGCCATGCTTGCTTCCTGGTTCAGCCTCTCCCTGGGTTTATTACAGTTTGAATAAAACGCGAATGTGCAGGGGCTGTGCCTGACTTCCAGAGACTAGAACATGCATGGCCCCGACTCGGGGGGGACCTTCCCTCCCAAAGAAGAAAAGTTCCAAAGGTAGGAAGAGATGCTCCTCGAAGTCTCCCAGAGACCACATCACAGAGATTCATTAAAGTTTTCAGAATATGACACCCTTGCCCACCACCTGCCCTCCTGAGGGACCCAGCCCTATTGGAAACCAGAAGCCCCACCTGGCACTTTGCCCAGCTCAGGCCTCCCTATTCTTTCCCCCCCAACCCCCCCTGGGGTAGAGAAAGCTGCCAGATGGGGCTAAGAAGCTGGTCCTGGGTGCCACGGGCAGAGGAGACCCTCCATGGAGAACCCAAAGATGCCAGCAAGTGGACGCCCAGATGCCTCCACCAGCCTCAAAGCAAATCATCTTTTAATTCTGAAAACACCAAATACTTAATTTATGCTTTACCTCAAATGTCAAGTCTACCTCCCGGCACATAGCTTTGAAACCACGTAAGGAGGCCTAACGCTTTCCATATGGTGAAGACATGGGGCCTTTTAATTGTGCCAACTGGTATCATTCAAGGGTGATTCCCCTGGAATCCGGCAACTGGGGCAGCAGCTGGGCCAACAGCCAGCCTCCACCCTCATCACCCAGCCCCGCACGGCCCCGCGGGCTCCCACGCAGCCTGCGCCCTCCCAAAATCTTCCCCCAAAAGCAAAATGCCCTAGGTGCCCCCTAATCAAATTACCAGCCTGCCTGGCGGCCACCTTCAACCCACAAGCAGGCTTGCCAGCACCACAGCTCTCAGCCCGACTCTTAAGGCAGATCTGCCATAAAAGAACAAAAGGGCCAAACCCGGGGTCGGGGGGATGGGGGCCCAGGAATTGCTGGTCCTACACATTCATGTCCGCACACGCAGGTACACACCTCGGAAGCACAGTGCACCCAGGTTCTGCTTGTCCAGGGGCTCGCCATCAGCCTCTCCATGTCCGCTACGTGGCTCCATCCCTCTACCAAGTTTTTGATTTCACCCATTATATTATATTACATTTTCCAGACCCGGTATTCGCAATTGGTGTTCTTTTGTAACCACCCGTTACGGTTTTGTCTTTACCTCTCCTTCTTTATCTCTTTGAGATTATTAGGCTTATTTAAATTTCTAAGTGTTTAGCACACTGTTGTCTGGCTTATAAATCGTTCACGTCATTGTTCTCTCATAGTACTCTGACCTGTCACCATCTCTCATCAGTTTTCTCCTCTGAGCTCATGATTCCTTGAAACCCCACCCTTAGCCCATTGTCCATCCAAGTGCGTCTACAACGGATGGTAGGGCAGGGGAGGGAGGAAACTTCTGGATTCCTAATCTGGGTTCCCATCTCTGCCCCACCAGTGCTTCAGCAAACCTCCTGGTACCTTTCTCCCTTTTGAACTCTTTTTCCAAGAGTCACATGCCAGAACCCGGCCAGGGATGAGAATGTTATTATACCCATTTTGCAGATGAGCTTAGGTAAAAAGGCTTATACAAGGTGGCAAGCTACAGTGGCAGAGCCTGGCCTCATTTATTTTTGTACTCAGGATGGCAGGCTTAGGTTAGCGCCAGCAAGGTCACCCTCTCCCATCCCAGGACCTTCCAAGCAACTGGGACTCACCCTAAACACTTACAAAGCTACTCAGGCCCGGTCAGGAAGGAAGAGGGCAAGCAGGGGCCCCTCCTGCTCCTGCCTGCCTCACCACCCGCCTCTTCCCAAAGTACTCAGCAGCTGGTCAGCATGCCGCCTCTCTGGAAATGAGTAAGGGAGGCACCCCCCACCCCGGGGCAGATGCTCTAGCACAGGCCTTTGCCAGTCATGGCCCCTGTTTTCTAGAAAGTGCTCCAGAAAGAGAGAAAGACAGAGTCCACATCAGCCGGCTGGCAACTTTACAGGGTTATGAGGAGGAGCAAGACAATGTAAGCAAAGTGCTTGACATACACAGGCACTTAATAAATAATAATGTTCATTGCAATAATAATAATGCTGGTTGGGCGAACCACTAATGTGCTTCCAGCCACCTTAGTGAAAGGCCAGGTGGAGTGGAGACAGAGACCATCCCTACGCCAGGCCTGGGGCTGGTGGGGGGACCTCTGCCAGCCCCCGGAATCCAGCAGACCTTGGAGCTCACACCCTACATCCTGATGATCTAATGGAAGAATCTGCAGCCACCCTTTCTGCACCACTGGGAATCACCGAAACTCAACTAGGCAGGAGGTTGCCCACTGCTGTCTCATTCACTCTTTCTCCATGTCTCCCAAACTTCGGACATTCCATTTCCATAGTCACAATTTTGACCACTTTTACTTAGTATTTTGCTCGGAATCAACTTTCACCACTCTCTTTCAATTTAACTTCATCCTAAATGATACTATCCGTGAAATCATGGGTTTTATGTCCTGGTTACTATCTTTTCTGGTAACAGAAATGCTTGCCTATTAAGATAACAAACATTCCTCCAGGCACCACCTGAAATCAGTGCACACATCCCCACCGGGCAGCCCCTGACCTTGGGCTTCCCCTGACCTCTCCCAGGTTGGGCTCGCCATCCCCACCCCTGCAGATTCGGTGGCTGGGCCAGGGCTGGTAGGAACCCCGGTGCCCGGGTCCCAGTCACCAAAGCAGAACTCCCCAGGAAGCAGAGGTTCCCTCCCCTTAATATCTTGGATGGCAGTGCCCGCCCTCCACTACCCAACATGTGTCACGCGGCTGGCTCTGTGTCTCACATCTTCAAAAGTGCTTTGAACAAACATTAATGACCCCTCAGTGTTTCTCTGAGAGAGGGGGCGAGGAAGGGAGGGGGCAAGCACCACCCCATGCTGTCCTCAGCTGGGGGAATAAACCAGGCAACAAAATTCCATGACTTCACCAAAGCCACAGACTTAAGCTGGGCCCCCTCCCCACCCTCCCTCATTTCCCCCAATGGCAACTTTTACTGGCTCACATTCCTCTTGCTGGGAATACTACTATTTAATTAAAAACGACAGACTTTTGTTTTCCTTTCCTTCCTTCCTCCTCCCTCCCATCCTCCAGGACTGGATGCCAAGGAGACCCACCAAAAACATGCGGGTAACATTTGTTATGGCTTTGAAGATAAAAGTCAATTGAAGTAAACCCTCGCTGTATTTCAAGTTTCCCCTAAAGCATGGAGCAAGCTGCCTGGCAGTTGAGGAAAGGAAAAAAAAAGGGGGGGACTACAAATAAATGTCATTCTGCAGGAATACTTTGTAAAAATAAACAGGCTGAAAAAACCCAAAACTTGATTAATGGAAATCCACTCAGTTGGCCTCTGTCTTGAGCGGCAAATGCATTTGTTCATATGGCTAAATCGGATCATTTTCACTGGGCTTTAAATAAGTAAGTAGATCAAAAACTATAAACGGTGGGGGAAGAAAGGGAAGTTTGTAGTTCTGTTTCTAAAGGGCCTCAACCGCAGTGCCCCCCACCCACCCAGTTTTGACCTTTACTGGGGGACAGCAGCTCCAATTCCAGCCCAGCCAAGAGATGAAGAAAAATGGAGAAGAGAAAGCCCCCCAGCTAAGCAAGACAGTGGGAGGAGGAGATGGGGGCTTTTCCCAGATGCAGAGATTATTGCATACGTGCACAAGAGGGGACTTTATCCACAGGCTCACTTCCCAACACCGGCCCCTGCAACTGAGCTGCAACCAGCCCAGATGCCACAGCCCCAAAACACATACACACACACACACACACACACACACACACACACACACACCCCACATCTGAAAACTCCACAGGCCCCTCCCTAGCCCATGGATAAGACCAAAGAACTAACCAGACCTGAGACTCAGTCTGTTCCCCTCTAAGTTTAAAAAAAAAAAAAAAATTAAATGTCACATCAAAAAGTTGATTCATCCTTTGATCCTTGGCTTGCTCGAGTTCCACGCAGACCATCTGAAAGCCCCGTGCAGAGTTCCAGAGCTCCTAGGACATCTGTGAGCACCAGTCCCAGGCCAAGAGCTGGGGCTGGACTCACTCACTTCCCTGTCACATCGACCACTCCCCCAGGAATAACTCCAACTCAGGGTGGGCCCTGGCTGCAGCAGCAGGAGACCCTCTCTCTCCCTGTGGGCCAAGTGAAGGGGTACCAGGTCTCAGTGCCCCCTAAGCTCTGCTATCTTGATCACAGTCTCTTCTACTGGGGTTCCTGGGCAGATGGTACTGATGAATGCCACAGACACTTGGAACACATTTGGAAGCCAGCACAGTCCCGCCCTCCACCCAGACACCCCTAGATGCCTTCCCTGTCTTCCTAGCAACCCCCCTCCACATCTACCTTTGAATGCTGACCGCAGAAACAAGGTAGAAGTCAGAGCAGGCCCCCAAATTCCTCCAGCACACACAAGCTTCCCCACAGACTGGACCTGCACCACCTCCTCACCTAGGACTTTTCTCTCCCCAGACAGCCCTCTACCCCCAGCCAGGCAGGAGACTGACACCTGAGCCACCTCTAAGAGTCCCGAAGACATGGGGGTACCAGTGGTTTTGGTGGGGCAGGGGCAGCTGCAAAGGGACTTTCTGGACTTAGAAGCTGTGCCAAGAGGGTGCTAAAAGTTGGGGTGGGTAAGGAGACCCGTCTCTGGGGCTGAAATGTAGGTGGGGATCGTACCCGGGTTCCTCTGCCAACGGTGCCGGCCACCTGCGGCTGTCGGGGTCCAGAGCTGCCGCCTGGACAGCGCTGCCTCCCGATCCACTCCTCGATGCCTTTCCGGGCCCAGGCGGCGCTCACGGCGAAGCTGTCACCTGGGGCGGGGAAGACACGGAGCCCCTGAGTCTGGCCCCTGGGCCGAAAGTTACCGGAGAGAGGAGGGAAAGAGTGGGCTCGGCAGAGGCAGTGGGGCCAGGAGGGGGTTGAGGGCCGGGGCACAATCCGAGAGAGAGGGACGCAGGTACTTGGGAGAAAGGGGTTCAGCGAAGCCCCAGAAGCAGAGACCCAGAGGGGAGCGCGAAGGGGGAGCAGCACCCCGGAAAAGGGGTTTGGGGATCAGAAGAGCGAGCACCAGAGGCCAGGACGGCAGAGGAGAGGGGTGAGGGTCAGAGGACGGGTGCAGTGAGCACGGGATGAGGGAAAGCGGAAAACTGAGGGTCAAGAGAGGGGCGCAGTGGGCGCAAGAGCCCAGAGCTCGGGAGAAGGGGCTGAGGGCCGGAAAGAGAGGGGCAGGATCTTGAGGGAAGGGGCTTAGGAGTCTGAAGAGGGGGGCGCAGTGAGCGCGGAGGGCGGGGACCGCAAAAGGAGGGGTTGGGGGTCAGAAGAGAGAGCACAGGACGGCGAGGAGGGGGTAGGTGGGACAGAAAAGGGGGCGCGAAGGCTGCTCCCGGAGCGGGTCTGTGGGACTGGTGGCCAGAGTTGGGGGTGGGGGTGGCCCTGGTAATAAGATCCCGCGGGCTAGGCCATTCCGCCGCGATCCGCGGTGCTTCCCAGTCCATCCCCCCGGTCCGTGCCCCGCGCGCCCCTACCTTCCGGGCTCTCCCTGCGCTTGCACACGGCGGCTGCAGGCACATCGCGCGCGGCGGCGGCGGCGGCGGCGGCGGCGGCGGCGGCGGCGGGAGCCGGAAAGAAAGGAGAGGCAGAGAGTTAGCAATCGCGGGGGCGAGGGCGGCCGGGGCCAGGGGGCCGGCGCGCGGGCGGGGACACTGACCCGGCTTGGAGTGAAGTTTCCCCATGCTGGGGGCGCGGCGGGCGGGGGCGTCCCTAAGCCATGCGCCCGGCCCGCGGGGTCCGCGGCTCGCCGCGCCTCGCCTCGCTCTCCTCCTCCCAGAGCAACCCCGAGCCGAGCGGAGCCCGAGGCGGCGCCGGGACGCGCTCCTGCCGCCGTCGCCGCGGCCCGACTGACGCCCGGGCGCGCCGAGCCCCCAGCCCGCCGCCGCGGCCCGCGCCTCCCCGCGCGCCCATTGGCCGGGCGCGGCGCATCAAAGGCGAGGCGGGCCGCGGAGGGGGCGGGAGGGGGCGGGAGGGGGGCGGGGAGGGGGCGGGCGGAGGGCGGGGCGGGGCGGCGGGGCGGGGCCAGGCGCCGTGGGGCCGACGCAGCGCCCCCCTCTAGGCTGAGGTCTTCAGCCCGGCGCTGGGGGCCGCGGGGCCGACAGGTCGGGGGACCCGAGTTGGGGAAGGGCCTCTGGCCAGTGGGCGTATTGGACGAGACACCCTCCCGAGTCCGGTCTGCTTTAGAACAACCGCGGCCCTCGCTAACAGTATTGTGCCTTCCCTCCGCTCTATTTTCCTCGAAGAGGGCCGGGCAGGACTCAGTGGCTCCAATTTACAGGTGATGTGACTGAGGTCGGGGGAGGAGACGCGGCTTGGGCGCTGAGGTCGGCTGCGCGCCTGCTGCGCTGCCCCTTCCCGATCTTACCACGACCTGACTTTGGCGAAAAGTGTTCGCTTATTACTCGCCCCGTGCTCCCACTCCGCCCCTCTAAGTTTTGATTTAGGATCCAAGAGGAGCCCCCACCGCGCCTCGAGCCGGTTGTTGGCCCAGCTCACTGCTGGCGGCTCCAAGTGTCCGACAGCCACGAGTTGCCAGCCAATCGCTCGGATGCCTCATGCCGGGTCCGTGGGTGCCCTCCCCGGGGTCGAGGCGCGCTGCCAGCCGCGCGGCCCGGAAGGGGGTAACCGCTGGGTCTTTGATCTTCCCTGGTTTCCGCTCCCTGCTGCAGCTCGCCAGACCCAAGGGCTTGTTTGTTTTGTCTGGGGAAGTCTGTGCGGAGGGGAGGGCGACATCAAGGGGTTCCACCCCACCTTTGTGGTTCTCAGGGAGAATGCCTGCTCTGCTGGGGACATCGTGGGCCTGTTAAGTTCAACCCGGTACCCGGCGGCCTGGGCGTGGGAAAAGAAAACCCTGTGCTAAGGAGTGAGGAGCCGGACTCTGCCCCTGGGAGTGAGTTCTCTGTGTGAGCCTCAGTTTTGTGGTCTGTAAAATGGAGGCTCAAGTCTCCCCATTTTGCCAGCTCCTTGGAGCGGCATTGCCCAAGAAAGATAACGTAAGCAACATGTGTAAAGCTAAACTTTCTAGTAGCCACATTTTTTTAAGTAAAAAGAAACAGGGATTATAAGAGTAACACTTATCACGATGAGCACTGAGTAATGAATAGAATGGTTGAATCACTGTATTGTACACCTGAAGCTAATATAGCACTGTATGTTAATTATACTTCAATAAAGAAATTAAAAGGAAAAAATTTTAGAAACTTGTAAGAACACTAAAAGAAAAAATAGGCCATCTCACTCATCAACATAGAAAAAAAGTAAAAAGAAACAGATGAGATTAACTTTAATAATATATTTTATTTAACCTGATACGCCAAAAATATAATTTCAACATATAATGAGATATTTTATATTCTTTGTTTGGCACTGTTTGAAATCTGATATGTATTTTACACTTAGAGCACATCCCCACCCAGACTCGCTGCATTGCAAGAGATCAATAGCCACGTGTGGCTGGCTGGTGGTTGCTGTGTTGGGCATGCCAGCTCCGGACCCTCTACCTGTCTCAAAAGGACATTGGGAACTGCAGGGGCCTCCAGAGTCATAAATCTCTTACAATGTCTTACTCCACAATGTCTCAAGAATGTCTTAACTTCCACCGTCCAAACTTCATGCTTCCCACACCCTTGTTGGTGAAAATGAAGGCTGATCTTATAAGCAGGTATATTAATGCCTTTAGCAGGCTGGTTTCATTTGAGGAGTGCTGGGACTCCCCAAAATATTGTTACTGTCCATTTTATAGTGCACTTGTTTACCCAGCACCTGCTACGAGCCAGCCATCATCCTAAGTCATGGGTAGCCCTCACAACCACTCTCTGATGCAGGCCTGGACTTGTTCTTTACAAAGAAAGGAAACCACCAGGCTCAGAGAGCTGAAGCTGCTTGTCCAAAGTCACACAGCGAGCCAGTGACCTGGTGAGGAACTGAACCCAAGCCTGTTGATCCAATTGGCCAGGCTGTTTTCACTCCGTGAGGCTGCCCCAACACAGTCTCAACCTCACATTCCAAAATGTCAATATTGCCAAAATGAACCCCCTCCCCCGCCCGCCGCCGCCGCCCAAGATGTAGGAAAACGAAAAAGCAGAGCAGCATAACGGGAGTCAGGAGTAGGAGGGAAGTGGGGGGTTCGAGTGTCTGATTCTGAGGGCAGGAGCTCTCCTGCAAGCCCCTCCAAAGGAAATGGCATTCGGCTGGGGTTGCTGTTAGACTCTCTCACCCCCCAGGCCCCGCCGGTGCCAGGGTGCATCAAAATCAAAGCAAAAACTCTGCGCGTTCTTTCTCACAGTGCTCAAAAAGTTGGTTACTTCCTTAAACCGGTCATGGCTTTCTTCTTTCATGAGAAAAAAGTATCCCCTCTTCCCTTGGGAATTTCTTTTTGCAGTTCAAAAAGAGATAAAAGCAAGAACTAAAACTCCGCAGTTACCAGTTTGAGTCTTGGGGGAAGTAAATCCCAAATGTCCAGCCCAGACACAAAGGCCCCCCTCCACCTTCAGGCTGGCCCTTCCCAGCCGAGCAGGCGCCGGGGACTTCGCTGCTGCCTCCCCCGTTGGAATCGCGACACCACCGCCCCCACCGACCTGGCCCTGGGGCGAGAAACCAGAGAGGTGGGCCTTGTGGTGAAACCTTAGCCTGTCCAGGACTCTGAGGAGGGGCTCCCTGGGCGCCACCAGCCCACCGTCCCCCTGGGGTGGCTGTTCGGCCTGCGCCGGCTCCCCGCCCCACGACTCACTGTCTTTTTATGTGTTTTAATAATTTATCTGGCCCACTTCTTGGGCTGAATACTTACAGTGACACATCTTTTTCTTTGAAGATTTCCCATCCTTTGGGGGAGGAGAATGAGAAAGGATGGAAAGGAAGAGATAAGAGAGAGAGATTATAACAGAAACGGGTTTCATGGGGCTTGAGATTTAGCAAGGCTGGTTTAGGTGAAATGTGTTAGACGTGGAGCCAGCGTTTTGTTTTTTTTTTTTTTGTTTTTTTTTTCTTTTAAAAACCACATCACCCTGGTTGGCCACCCCCACGCTTGGCCCCAGGTTATAGCTGTCAGCTCTGGCTCCCTTCAAAGGCCACCTCCTAGAGAAAGCCCTCCTGACTTCCCAGCCTGAACAGCTCTGACCACTCAGATTAGCCCAGCTTCCCTCCCCTGCCTCTGGGCTTGGCAGTCCTTATTTTATAATGAGGGCACTCAATGTTCCTCCTGGAGTCTGGGCTCCTTAGAAGAGGGGGTCTTGCCTGGCGTCTCTAGATGCAGTACCCAGCACTGCCCACAGGAGGTGCTCTAGACAGACTGAGAGGAGCCCGCTGCGTCCCACAGACACCACCCACCCGGCGTGTGTGGGTGTGTTGTCCATGAGAGGGTGGGCCCCTGCCAAGAATGTGCTCTGGGATATACTGAAGAGAAAATTAATGTCCAATTCTGCTGGTTCCCCCTTGGTCCCTGGGTTGCTTCATTCCACAACCCCCACTGAGATTTGGCATTTGCTAAGTGGCCTGGAAACCCGGTTTGGGGTGAGGAAGGGAGAGTTGAACTAGTCTGCATGAGAAAGTCACAGGAATTTTGGAGATGGCAACCGGGAAAGGGAAGGGACGTGTGTCAAGGGGACCAGAGAGTATGGGAGAAGAACACTAAATCAGGGCCTTAAGAAGGGGCAATCCAGTGAGGAGGGAGGCAGTCAATCACTTTTCAGGACAGTGAGGTCTAATGTGTGATTGGCAGTTGTCACCTGCTCGGCTGTAGGGTGGGATCACCCTCTGTTACTCCCAACCTCTGCAAAATCCTAACCATGTGTGTGGGTTAGTGGCACAGGACAAAATGAAGGAATGAGCCCAGCATAGGTCATCATAGGGCAATAGGCCACAGGCAGTGGAAATGTTCATCGCGGGGCGGCGGCGAGGGGGGGGGGGTGTGTGCCGAGAAAGATGGGAGCCGGATACAGCCAGGAGGAGCACCAGTCCCAGGATCAGAGCTTAGAGATGACGTAGAAGAGGCTGGGTTTCCCCTAGAACAAGGGGTGAGGTCCCCAAGCCATTCTATTCAAATCTTACGGGAGAGGCCCCAAAGACAGCTACACTGCTTGAGCCTAAGTATTGGTTGAACTGAATTGAGTTTTGGGGCCACCAGCTTCTCCCAGGTCCGGGGTGTTTTGTTTTGTTTCGTTTTGTTTTGTTTTGTTTATTTGAGGGAGGGGAGAGACAGCACGAACAGGGTGAGGGGCGGAGGGAGAAGCAGATTCCCCACTGAGCAGGGAGCCTGATGCAGGGCTCGATCCCAGGACTTTGGGATCATGATCTGAGTAGAAGACAGAGGACTGAGCCACCCAAGCGCCCTTGGGGTGTTCTAGCAAGATCAGAGCACAAGCTTACCCGGAGGGAAGGAGAGAGGGAGGGAGCCAGCCTGGCCTCATCATGCTGCTCCTTGGTGAGGCCCTGCTCTCTCTCCTGCGATGCCTGCCTCTCGGCCCTTGTCCTGTGCATCTCTGAAGCCCTCCCAGCTAGGGTGCAGGTCTGTCTACTTCCAGACTTCTATCACAAAAGGGAGAAAGAAACTTCCACCTTCTTGAGCCTTGGTTTTTCAGTTACATGCAATTGACCTGGGCCCTAATCACCACACTTGGTCTGCACGTCCATATAATAGAAAGCAGGGTGCAGCCAACCAGCATTTCCCAAAGCAGGTTCCGTGGAGAACACCAGAGCTGTGAGATGCTATCATGATGTGAAAGAAAGGGTTCTGTGGGAAACTTTGGGCCGCCCCTGGCTTAGCTGAAGGGTGACAAGTTCCCTTTCTGCAGGACTTGTCAGAACCTTCAGCTTTGTGATTCTTCAAGAGGAAGGCA